GGTTTCAGAAGATAAATCCGTTTATTTTAGCTTAGCTTGATAGGGATCTTGCTAGGATTCCATGAGAACCACTAAACATACTCTAAGTCAAGCAGAAATAAAATGAAAGTATTCGAATTTCAAGAGATAACATACATGGGTTTTTTCCCTTAATTTGCTTAAAACGAAATACAAGATGATACTAAAAGCTTTAGTTGTAGATGATTAAATATTGAGGCTTTTCAAGCACGTTAGCAATATGGCACTCATGGGTAGTATTGAATATATTCAAGGAGTTGTATATCAGGTCAAATAAGTATGGGCCTGTCATTGGACAATCTGAGAAGGGGGCCGGGGCAGAGAGCCAATAAATTAGAATAATAAAAGCTAGAGAAGCCTGGAGCTTTATCGAAATATAAACACTGTCCTTTATCAAGATTGTGCTTGAAGATATGGTTGTGCTTATGGTTGAAGGTTTGATGGACTAAAAAAATGTCCACCACCAAAACATACATTGTTGCATAGTTGCAAGATTTATTTTTTTTCACTTTGCTTGTTTTTGGTTTGTTTGGTGTTTTTTTTTGTTTTTCGTTTCTTTGTTTTTTCTCTCATATTCTTAGGTTTAGAGTTTCGATTAAATTCATGATATGGTTGTTCACAATTTGAAAAGGCAGATTGTAACTCGTTCACCTTTATCATCATAATTAAAACAGTGAGTGAGTGAGTGACTTTGGTTTAACGCCGCTTTTAGCAATATTCCAGCAATATCACGGCGGGGGACACCAGAAATGGGCTTCACCATACTTAAAACAAACGCAATATGGTGAAAAATCGCATTTCTCTAATTTTTTTATTTTTACCTTAAACGTTTTGAAACCATTATCTGACAAATTCTGAAAAAAAACCCACAAAATAACCCACAAATTATTTATTTTCTAATTTTTTTTTCTTAAAACCCCAACAAGATGTATTATGACGTTTTGTTAGCTTCAATCATCAATAGACCAGAGAAATATTGTGGATGTAGCAGCCGTTGCTAAACACGGACCCGATCTCCTTGGAAATCCATCATCTCTACAACAAACACATTAGAGCATGGAAATCCCCAAACGGCACGGTCCTTGCAACAAAGGCGCCAGATTAATGGCCAAACAATTCAAACTACGGGCACCGAAGATACACAAATATCAAAACATAATTAATTATAAGTAAAACATCTTAAATTATTCCCAGAAGCACATTTCCCATGCCCTAATTATCAGCCTGTTATTTGTCGATTAAATATAACACAACTTTAAGAAAAGACGACCGTTAAGCATTACACCAGGATAAAGGTTTACTCAATTAAGGATGTTCTCAGGAAATATCGAGTTTATAACTGCCGTTTGCGTTACCAAAGCTCCTTAATCAATGCCTAATGAAATTCAAATGATCGGTTTGGACGAGAATAAGGGTTTAAAAGCCCGCTAATGGAGCTGCAGCCTTGCATTAAAACAAGATAAACGCTTCAATGAGAAATGTTTTACACCCGAGATGCCTAGTCCGTCGATGTGGGGGCCCGACTGAATCTAGTCAATCCCCCCATCCGTCCCCCAATACTTAGCCCTTGGCGAGGGGCCTCGACCGCCCAACTCCAAAGGGATCTAGAAAAAAATCGAAAATGATATTTTGTGTGAAGTGGATTCTGTTTTATTGCTAAATCCCCTGAACGGCTCAAGCTGGGCGAAATAAACCCAATAGCAAAAGACAGGGGGGAAATTAAGCGATTACTAAAGCTTGTCGCAGCATAATCTGGTGAAGTGCCACTATACTTAAAGAACATCGCGCTGTGTTTGATAAAACATATCGATAAAAGACCAAGTGCAATTAATCTGGTCATAAATGGCGTCGGGCCTACGCCGCGGTGTCGGCGCGAAGGACCACGTCGCGAGCGTGCAGTGTCAACCCTCACCCGGATCAATGCGGGCGTTTGCGACTCAACTTAGCTCCGATTACAGAGGGATTCGGTTCAATACTAATCGTCATACACACGATAAGCTCTTAAATTAAGCGCTTACAATATTGTTACAAGCAATATATTGACTCTAGAGGCCTATAACATGATTAATTCTGTAGCCACAAGCGTTGCGCCCGTTTTAGCGTGATCGTCATCTTTGGTTCTGTCAAAAGAGCCTGCCGTAGAAAAGTGTTCAAATAATGTTGTAGAGTCTGCTAAGGGTATGGATGTGTTAAAATGGACCTGAATATTCTGCTGATTGAGTGGTTTATTAATTGAAAGCGAGACGCAAATTTCGTGCGGTGTAGCCATTGTGAAACAGAAGGAACCCAGTTACGGATTTAAATATCGCTGTTCTCATATATTTCATTGGTGGCATCCTCTTTCGACAGTTTCAAAAACCAATGTGTCTGTAAAAGAAGTATTGATATATTTATAGATGAAGCTAAATAAATACTTTTATTTAAATTAAATACCACGAGTGGCATTTTTCTGTTAAAATATGCTGTCGTATGATTAACATTTTCGGAATGTTTTTGTTAGGGTATCCAATGTGTGTGGTAGTGTAAGGAGATTTTGCTCTTTTTGCTCCATAGTGTTTAAGTTATGAATAACACGAAAAACACGTTCGATTTTGTGACACACGATTGGTTAAAAAGGCAGATCGGTGTTATGTGAACACATTTCAATTTGTCCCATTACTGTGTTGAAACAAGGCACGGCTTGAGGAAATGTTTCTCAATGTTAACATAATAACGACAATAACATGGAACTGCTCTCCATATCCTGCACCATTTCTACAAGACCTTTGCAAACACGTTGTCTACAAGCCACAAGCAAATAACAACACGAGATGCACGTGCATTGATCGGCGTGCGCAAGAACGGAAGCGCACAATGAAGTCCGCCTCGAGCTAGGAAGACCGGATTAAATAGCCCCGCGCAACGAAGCAAAAATTAGAATGTATCGACTGTTGATAATCAATACTTGAATGTAAGACAACTATAAAGTATTGTTGGCGTATAATTGTGCAGTTTCAACACACGAGTAGCCTGTATTGAGTAAAAGGGACCACTGGCGTTCAGAAGAGAGCTCTTTCTACCCTAAGTGGTAATTAAAACTTAATTTGCGGCAAGTGCTTGTTTGCTCGACGCACAACTCAATGGACGGTTTGATTTTCAATTCACAAGTTCATGAGAAAGCAATCGTGTGGTTTTGTCTTCTACTGATAATAGATTTTAAGACTTTTTGGTCGGGACAAAGGAATATTGTTCGGATGGTAATCTTTTATAACACACGAGTGGGTTTAAAGCAGATCCGTTTAACAGGAACACGTTCCCACGGAAGTGCTTCTAATGTAGTCCCGCAGACAGGAAGTGACGTCAAAAGCATACTTAAGTACATACTATACTACATACTGACAAGCATAATTGATTTGCTGAGAAAAGGATTATTGCGTTAAGGCACAAAAAAACTCCGAGGGAAATTAAATGAACAGTAACGATTTTATCCATGCTAATATAAAGCCTATCGTTGTTTGAGGGTAAACATCTTACCTTAGATATGTTTTGTATAGATTATATTTCAGCTGAAGTCGCTTTCTGTTGACGAAATATTGTCTTAATGCTCTCTGCCAATGTTACAAAAAGTGCACTGTGTACTTAATTTCAATAATCGTTCCTATCACTGGTAAGTTCTTAAAACATGTCTCCTCAACGTTTAAGGGTACTTTTAAAAAGCAACATTGTTTACAAAAGCCGTTCTTCGTGGCACGCCGTCGTCTGAATTAGTTTGGACTCATGAAACTGAACTACTTCCACGCCTTATTTGAAATACAAAGACAAACCATTTCTGGATTAGATGCATCAATAATTTGTTTCCAAGAATTAGTGTAATGCCTAATTGAATTCGCCCAATACCAGTTTAAGTTCTAACATCGCCTGAGCCAGAATAGTTTTTGCAGAGTTATAAACATTAAATCCATCAGATACCCAAGACCTTAAACGGATCAAGCGCGCAGCAATCAATTCTTTCAAGTTATTGCTGATGCCCCCGTCGTCCAGTTTAGTGTGTGATCTGGTAGGTCCGAACCTCAACATATGTTGAATTCCCTGACCCTATCTCCGTGTTAAAGTTACCCTAAACCCAAACCAATAAGTCCTTTGCGCGTAAAACGGCCAAGCGGCACGCGCGAGGTGCGTAATCTCATCATCGAGATCTCGCGGTGACGAGATTTGACGAGATTACAACCTGGCTGGTATCCGTATGGCAGGTTATCTTTGTTTCTGAACCCGAACCAGCAAGTCAATAGCGATATCAACAACCCACGACGGAGCTTGTTGCCTTACTTTGAGATGTGGCAATTAGGCGTGACGGCCAGCTCTTCAAAGGCGCGTACAGGATCGTGTTGTCATTAACGTGTCGTATCTCAGGTCGTTACAGCGTAATAAGTCCCGTTATCAAGCGTCATTAAAAAGTCATAACGACACTGATTTCCTCATACAATGAACTCAAATTCAAAAGATTAGCTGTAACCAACACATACTTAATTGACTGACGATTCGCTGCTTAAATAACCGCTGCTTTCGCAGTTTGTTACAAATTTATAATGCGTTTCGTTTTTATATCATCAGTTGATAAGGACAATAGCGCCCCATGTTACAACACAACTGTTAAGTTAAATGTATTGAGTGTACACGCATCGAAACTCGGCGACCTTTGCTCAAGGCAAATTAGGATTTAAAGTTCATGTATGTCCCAGCAGAGAAGTACAGTAAATAGGCTGGGGATTTGTTATTGATATGCTAGTTCACATCCTCTCGTGTCGTATAATCCCTTTAAACAAACACAAACACTCAACAACGCATGACACCATAAAACATTAAAGTTAACGTTAAACTAACAGCATCAAGGATTTGTATGTATTCAAATTGTGTTTGCGATTTTTTCTTTTGTATATTCCGAAATGCGTTTACGGTCACATGATGTTAAATGACGTTAAGCACGTATCTGTTTTATATTGCAGGTGCCCGCCCGCTGAGTTGGCCTGGGTCAGAGGCTGGTACGCCCCAGGGGGTGGAGGAAGCACAGAAATTACCCCCATCAGATCCCGCCTCACCTGCACCCTGGTACAACGATAGCCTCTGCCAAACTCGACACATCGACGTCCCCTGGTTCGTGCGTCCCGCGGTGGGTACAGTTGACATGAGGCTTGCCCAGGGGAGTGGCTCTATTCTGGGGGACGAAGCCGAGCAAATAAACAAGATCAATTCCCCTGAAAAATATCCGGGGGTACAGACGCCCGGGGCAACCACGGTCGATGAAAAAGACGGGACGGAAGAAGAAAGTAAAAAGGAAATTTGTGATCGAGCGACGGAAAAAGAGGATGAACAATCCCTTAACTGCTCTGTGACGTCAGTCGATGACGCGGATGATGACGACACACTGAAAGATGACGTCAAAGGTCACGTGACCGATGACGACAGTAAAGAGGGGTGTGATAAGTTCGGGAGTGACTGTGGGGACCCTGAGGGTGATAGAGAGAAGGAGTTAGAGGAATTTGGGAAGAGGAAACAGCGACGATACCGTACAACGTTCACAAGTTACCAGCTGGAAGAACTAGAACGAGCCTTTCAGAAAACCCACTACCCGGATGTATTCACAAGGTTAGTCTCGCACTTTCTGCTTTTGACGTCACTTCCTGTCTGCGGTTCTATATTGCAAGTTTTTCCGAAGCTGCGGCTTCAGAGCAACTTATATAACGTTAATAATTGTGTACTGCTTTGAGGAAGAAAAAATAACAGACAGAATTATTTCGTTAATATGGCCGTGAGACCAATAGTGCAATGACATTTTCTTTGAGGAAAATTTGTGACAGATCACCCTTTGTTATTAAGTCTAAATTGGTATTCCTATTTCGATTTTTATAAATATTATTCATCATAATAAATAAGGAATTTCTATCAAAGAAAATTCATTTACATTACCTTGTTCAATATTTTAGCCAAGATATTGATACAAATATACAATCACCGATCTTTTGACAAAAATGTCCGGTTAATAATTGAACCGTTATATTTGAATCTATACACGTTAATATAAAACGATTTAAAATCAAAAGTATTAAAAAACAAAACTGCTGGACAAAGAAGTAAACCCTTGTAAACTGCATCTGACTAAACAGGCATCGGCTAGCAAAACGTTACCAGGCTCCGGACACCCGCCGAACCACTACAAACTCAAGGTCGGAAATATAGCGATGATACTTGTCTAAAAAGCATCACCATTTCTTTTTGTTTCATTTTTAGCCACAATCATACAATGGTTTATATTTGTATTTTGCCCAACAGTTGCTGGTGTGAAGATCTTCAATATTTGATGCTCCAAAACTCAGAGCTAATTTATCAAACTAAATATCATAGCCCCCTTTAATTGTTTGATGTGTTTAGTTATATATATTGGGGATGTTGAGTTACACACATTTTGATAAAATACTAGTACATGTACAGATTATTTTTTAAATATGGTTCTTGTATATTTGCCAAAAGCTGTTTCGTATTGGATTTAACATCATTATTCCGCGACACATAAAATCTAAGTTAGATGTAAAAAATATGTAAGCGCCAAAAATGGAAACTTAAGTAATAATCCTTCAATTTATACATTAAAGTTTATTTTTAAAATAAAAATTAATAATTCGTTCGCAACGTTGAAAAGGGATACTTCGTTGGATTCATATACACAATGTCCTCGTATGTCCTCATTTTAGAATGAAACGTTTCGAAGAATGCGTATGTGCTTCGCCCAAGTGGCCAAGGTTGACTTTGCTTGCACAAAAATCATTGGTGAAAATATATGGCATCCAACCAAAGATTCCACCAATAGTTTTAATGAATGTAAATCGCGTTATTCGCCCTTGTTTAACACACCTGTGCTTTTTGCCCCGTCTTTTTTCAAAATGTTCTTAATTGACAAAATTGAAACACAAAGGTTAAGACTACGGCATGAGTCAGTAAAGTAAAGATCCTGTAATGGGAGACCTTCGCCCTAGCGTCTTCGAACCCTTCGTCAAATCGGCAAGAAAGCACCAAATATTGTATCAACTTCGTTTCAACATGGCTCCTTTGCTTGTTGGATGCCTTAACGCGACCTTTTGCCGACTCTAACAAATTTTCACTCTCGCGAGATGTTTGCTCCTGGTTTTAAGCCGAGGGTGATCTTGCTAGAAGCGTTTATCTTCAAATACTTCATTGCCCTCAATCAACAGGATATAGCCCTGCGCCGAATCTTCTCAAACTTAGCCAGTAAACAATACTTGCTAACTTGTGTGAAAAATCTGACCGTGTCACTCAAATCAAATTATACATGCGCGGATAAAAGAAATTCGTATTTGATGGCGAGAGATGCAAGTTGTAGTTATTCGACAAATAGACGAGAAATTCAAATTTGCTTCCTTTGGACGCCCGTGAGATGCCGAACTTGGTCTGGCGACTTTAAATATTATTTGTGGATTATGACTGAAGATAGCAAGGTGAGTTTTTCACCTGTTCTTACTTGATCAGAGAGCTTTCATCCCCACCGCTGAATTTCACACCTGACAGTTCAGGCAACAACACCACGTTATATCCGGACGGGGGAAAATCAAATTTTGGAGTTAGCGTTAATATGAAAGACGTCATCTGACCGCTTCCTATTATTTCGCTGTTGACCACTGAAATGACTCACTGGCCAAAGTTAAAGGACTCGGCTGTCTGGAGAACCAGTGCAATATTTCACAGAGACCCAACGCAATATTTCACAGAGACCCAACGTAATATTTTAGAGACCCAATCAAATATTTCACAGAGACCACCTTTGGTTTTATTTCAGCCTTCACTGTGTGTACATAAGTATACCCGTTGTACCGCGTCTTTTTCTGACTAATAATAAAAAAATATTAAAAATAATGATAATAATAATAATCATGTTTGGACGTCTTCTGTGATCATAATTACCAGTCACATTACTCGGACTTCAATCTCCAAACTATTATTTTCATTATCATAAACTTATCACAATAAATATACAATAGTCTCCGTTATTTGGATTATTTTATCATATTTTACATTTTACATATATTTTCTATTGATATTTCTTAAAACTCTTTGGCGCTATATTATATTCAATTGTAAATTGTTTTCACGTAGCGATTCAAATATATTATATAAAGCCCAACTAATTTATATAAATATATTTTCGAAAAAAAATTAAGATTGACGGCCACAATTCAACACAAACACTACACCACACGAACATAAAAAGTCTAAATGCATTACAAAGCTTATTTACTCGCGGCTTTTGTCGGTTTAACAGACCAAAAAAAATTCGATTTAATAAACCGTGATCAAAACATTGGAAAAGAACTATTAAGCGTGGAAGGCGATCTCTGGTAGAATTCAATATCCTTTGCAATTCACATTGAACGTCTTTTTCATCTAAATGTGTCTATTTCCAAATTGCCCCCCAGGAATGGCTGCGCATCCTGGTGAAGTACACGAGTTTCTATTCCGCATCCGGGCTCCGGAACCTCAGGATTTGAGGCGAACACGTAACAATACGGCAACCGCAATTAGGAGATGTGTTTTCTATTCAAAGACAGCCGTTTTTTTCCTGTATTAAATCCAAATATCATTGTGAAGGACAATTAGAGGAGCATGAGCAATGGGCTAACGATCTAATGTCACCAAGCAAGCTGCGCCTCCATTGAAGCGAGTCACAGAAGCTCCACACAGCTCCTTCACATAATCACCCTAGGAAAGGCTTCGGCCATTGTCAGCTCCACACATCCTCTTCAGATAATGACTGAGGGAGAGACAGCGGCCATTGTCTGCTGGTAATTGTATTCGCTGAAAAAAAGTAGAGAAAATTAACATCTGTTCCTTTGGAAATAGGACCCGATTTTAGTTTTATTTTGTCACGTCAAGTGTTCGACTCTCGGTCGTTTTGATGGGGGAAGTAAATGAAGCAAACTCCATTCCCGGAAGGGTTAACGAGGGGGGAACGCGTGACAGCGGCGTTGACGTGAAATAGATTTCAATATGGCTGCGTGTGTCTTTAGATCGACCTGTAGTGTATGTTTATATATCTATTGGTTTCCAATGTTGTAGTAGGACTGAAGGGCTACACACAGGTTAATGAGCGATCTGAGGACGAGACGGGCAAAAGCTAATTTGAACAATACCAAGGGCTGTGATCGAACTCGGCCAGACAGATCGATAATACTAGGTGATCGGAGATCAGAACGCTTGGAGGGGATGGTTAGACATGAGCTGGTTAAACATCATGGCAATAATCTTTATGTCTATAATGTCAATGTTTCCATCGCGAGAATTATCGCCATTAATACAATTATCGGTATTGTCTTATAACGTTTAGATAATGTTGAATCAAGATTATTAAACCTCCATGAAGGCGAGATGAAATGTAGTTTTACCCTCACGATTTTGACGCTGTGTACCAATGTGTAGTTATAACTGACTGACTGACTGAGTATGGTTTTACGCCGCTTTTAGCAATATTCCAGCGGGGAACACCGGAAATGGGCCTCACTCATTGTACCCATGTGGGGATTCGAACCCGGGTCTTCGGCGTGACGAGCCAACTCTTTAACCACTAGACTACCCAACCGCCCCGTGTAATTATAAACATCATTCAGCTATCTTCGTTCAGTAATAATCGGTGGCGGGGGGGTAGCCTAGCGGTTATTTTAAAGCGTTCGCTCGTCACGCCGAAGACAACATGGGTACAATGTGTGAAGCCCATTTCTTGTGTCCCCCGCCCTGATATTGCTGGAATATTGCTAAAAGCGGCGTAAAACCAGAGTGACTCACTCAGTAATAATCGCGATATTTGGTGATTCTATCTCAAGTGACAAGGACTGCCGTAAGTGAGTATCGTTTTACGCCGCTTGAACAACATTTAAACCAATATTACGGCGGTGGAGACCAGAAATGAGCTTCACACATTGTTCCAATATGGGAATTCGAACCCATGTCTTCGGCGTGACGAGCGAACCAGGCTACCCCACCGACTAGTAAGGACGTATGCCTGTTTCACAAAACCATACTCACTCACTCACTCACTCACTCACTCTTTGGTTGAGTCGATCAGCTGACCATGGTATCGCTGTATCTGGCAATGAACATCGAACAATGATTTTGGGTAAAATTAAGTTTGCATGGGTTGGTAATGGAGTAATAAGCGTGATCACGAAATAAATGTACATATTAAATGGCATACAATTCAATGTATATTTAATTATTAACAGAAATAAACTGGTGAAGAAAACACTAGCTTACAGCTTCAGTATCGCCATGTTTATGATGCCATGTGATTGTTTAGTGTTGCAAGAAGGTTAATATTGTAAAATCTAAATAAAGGAGGATGATTGTAAGGTTTACCGATTATACTATACACCCGCACACAACAGGTATATTAACTGTGAATACGAGTTGTTCTTTTCGATCGGAATCATATGACCAATATATTGCCGATGCGTCTTAGCACACGCTCATGATCAGTCACTCGAATATTATTAGAAACAAAAAAAATATCTTTGAAAATATTAACCGAGAGGGAAAACTGAGATGCTGGCGAAAATAATATATATATATATGAGTGAGTTCAGTGTTACGCCGCTGTTAGCAATATTCCAGCAATATTCCAGCAATATCACGGCGGGAGACACCAGAAATGGGCTTCACACATTGTACCCATGTGGGGAATCGAACCGGGGTCTTCGGCGTGACGAGCGAACACTTTAACCACTAGGCTACCCCACCGTCCCTATATACATATGATCAATACTGTTTAATATGGAGGGTGTATTTTGACATCCATTTCGTGGTTAAGGAATTTATTAATTAAATCAGAGCACAAATATTCTCACCTCACTGAGTGGATATATCATGATTACATACATACAGTAAACTACGTTTATAGATAATTCGGTTGTAACGAACTCACGGTTGTAACGAACTCACGGATGTAACAAACTCACGGATGTAACGAACTCACGGATGTAACGAACTCACGAATGTAACGAACTCACGGATGTAACGAACTCACGGATGTAGCGAACTCACGGATGTAACAAACTCACGGATGTAGCGAACTCACGGATGTAACGAACTCACGGATGTAGCGAACTCACGGATGTAACGAACTAAATTTAGGTCTTGGCCACTTGCTCCATATTTTACTCTAAATGCGTATAACGAACTACAGTTATAACGAACTGGAATCGGTGGTGCCTGTGAGTTCGTCATAACCGTATTTTACTGTATTTGAATAATTATTTTAATTGGAAGTATTTAGAAAGAATTGAACTTTTATCAATAGCTTTCTTGGGTACAAAGGGTAATCTCTGAACAAACCTCACTCTTGCTCATCCTAATTAATTTATGTTGTGTTGCAGAGAGGAACTGGCAATGAGGATAGACCTGACGGAAGCGCGAGTCCAGGTGAGTCTGTAGTCTTATATATATGTTGTCGATACTCACACAGTGCCCGTCAATACACGGTATTCAGTAGGGGCGGATACAGCTTTTTGAGCTTTTTTGCGCACCCCTGCACATCCACCCCATCCCCACCCCCTCTGGATTCGCCTATGAGACACAGTCTACCTGTCGATACCCATCTAATACCACCCAACAGTATCCAACCAATACCCGTTATTAAGCAACCAGGAACTTTCAATACTTCACACATAAACGTCAGTTCCTATCAATTTATGCCTAACATACGTCTATAAGTACTAAACATATAGGAGCCATTTACCCGCCAATACACATCACTGGCCCAATACACAACGGTGTGGATAAAGGTTTACTACATCAACTTATTCCACAGCTTCACTACATCAACTTATTCTACAGCTTCACTACATCAACTTACTGTACAGCTTCACTACATCAACTTATTCAACAGCTTCACTACATCAACTTACGCTACAGCTTCACTACATCAACTTATTCAACAGCTTCACTACATCAACTTACTCTACAGCTTCACTACATCAACTTACTCTACAGCTTCACTACATCAACTTACTTCTACAGCTTCACTACATCAACTTATTCTACAGCTTCACTACATCAACTTACTCTACAGCTTCACTACATCAACTTATTTCAGCTTTACATCAACTCTACAGCTTCACATCAACATTCTACAACACTACATCAACTCTACAGCTTCACTACATCAACTTATTCTACAGCTTCACAACATCAACTTATTCTACAGCTTCACTACATCAACTTCTACAGTTTCACTACATCAATTACATACTTCTACAGCTTCACAGCATCAACTTACTACAGCTTCACTACATCAACTTATTCTACAGCTTCACTACATCAACTTATTCTACAGCTTCACTACATCAATCTACAGCTTCACTACATCAATTCTACAGCTTCACTACATCAACTTACGCTACAGCTTCACTACATCAACTTATTCAACAGCTTCACTACATCAACTTATTCTACAGCTTCACTACATCAACTTACTCTACAGCTTCACTACATCAACTTATTCTACAGCTTCACTACATCAACTTACTGTACAGCTTCACTACATCAACTTATTCTACAGCTTCACTACATCAACTTATTCCACAGCTTCACTACATCAACTTACTCTACAGCTTCACTACATCAACTTATTCTACAGCTTCACTACATCAACTTATTCTACAGCTTCACTACATCAACTTATTCTACAGCTTCACTACATCAACTTACTCTACAGCTTCACTACATCAACTTACTCCACAGCTTCACTACATCAACTTACTCCACAGCTTCACTACATCAACTGCTCTCCACAGCTTCACTACATCAACTCCACAGCTCTACAGCTTCACTACATCAACTTACTCTACAGCTTCACTACATCAACTTATTCTAGAGCTTCACTACATCAACTTACTCCACAGCTTCACTACATCAACTTACGCTACAGCTTCACTACATCAACTTACTCTACAGCTTCACTACATCAACTTACTCCACAGCTTCACTACATCAACTTATTCTAGAGCTTCACTAAATCAACTTACTCTACAGCTTCACTACATCAACTTACTCTACAGCTTCACTACATCAACTAACTCTACAGCTTTACTACATCAACTTATTCTAGAGCTTCACTACATCAACTTATTCTAGAGCTTCACTACATCAACTTACTCCACAGCTTCACTACATCAACTTACTCCACAGCTTCACTACATCAACTTATTCTACAGCTTCACTACATCAACTTACTCCACAGCTTCACTACATATTATTCTACGGTAAAGATTAATTGTCTTTTTGTATGTGACACAGTAAGTTAGTTAAGTCTTTTTTAGTGTGCTTCGTATATTACGAATATTTTAGCTGATGTTGTTTATATTTCTAAACCTATTTTGAAGACAGACTTCAGAGCAGGGTCAGCACACCCTGAAATATAACAACTGGTGCACAGACAGCGCCATCTGGGGGGTCTTTTACTGTGTATTTGACGTTGAGAAACGAACAAACACAATTATCTTAATACCATGTTGATCAGAGACCTGGTGGGTTTGGGACGTTTTGTAAAAGCTAAACGTCAGCTTCAAGATGCTTTGTGTCATTCTCGAATTCTAATTCGTTCAAAGGTATCTCCACTCCACCTGGTATACAACGACTTCAGAGTCGGAATATCGCATACAGGGATTAAATCTTTCAATTAAAACCTTAAAAGGTTGGTTTTAACTCCAAACACGGAACACAAGTCAATTACAACGGTACGGAGAAAAATGGACACTCTCGATCTTTCGCGCAAGGAGCAAGCAGGTGTGATGGGTAAACACGACGAGAAATGGCGGGAAAATAGGGCGTGGTAAATCGCCCGCAGCACAAACATCAAACCGACCTTGGCGTCGTTTGACTTTTAGTGCGATAGAAATTACATTGAGTATGTAGAGATAGATGTACTCCAGCAACGTTAATTGACTTACCTTTCCATGATAGATGAAGAGAGGGTTTACTCCGTACTTTAGCATTGTAAGACTTCTTTGTGTGCAGAGAGGTATTTGTATCAGCAAGGTAACTTCGAAAAGGGCAAAATATATCATTCGAATATGTCATGTTTATGTGGTTACTTCAGAGGGTTACCTTGAAATGTGACCGCCTCCGTGGTGTAGTGGTTAGAGCGTCCGCCCGGAGAGCGGAAGGTCGCGGGTTCGATCCCCGACCGCGTCATACCAAAAAACTTCTTGGTCCCTGCCTGGCGCTCGGCATCAATGGGTACAACAAGGACTGGTCGACTCGGAGTCAGTATGCTGTATCTGACTGGGGTATGGCTTCTCACTGGACGGGGTGGTGGGGTAGCCCAGTAGTTAAAGCGTTCGCCGAAGGCCCGCGTTCGATTCCCAACATAGGTAGATGTGTGAAGCCCATTTCTTGTGTCCCACGTAGTCATATGAGCGAAATATTCTCAAGCACGACGTTAAACCCAATTCCACCACCACCACCTTGAAATGTTTTCTTCTTAGATTGTAAAGAATTTAATATCACAAAATGATCGACCCTGGTTGACATTTTTATTCAAGACACTGGACATTACTGTTTCCACACTGAGAAAGATGGAAGGATTATTTTCTGTGATCATAGAATCTCACCAGCATTCACGTGCTTTTTATATCAAATTTATCAAAGTCTTAAACGGGCTTTTGACGACCCAGTTGATGTAATTGATATCAAGTGATATTGTCTATATCCCATGTGAGGTATCTCGTATATCTCCTGTATAACGTAAAGATGGTCTCCAATAACAACGTGGTCTTCAAACTGTTACATTGTTATTGTAAGTAACCATTTAGACATATTGGTTACCAAATAAATTATTACCATTGGTATATTTTGACATAAAACATAGGTTCGTCGATAAAAGTAGACAACAGCCTCCACAAGCATCGGGGTTTGCTACTTTTATCGATTTTTTCATACATTTGACTTTAAGGGACTCTTGGTGAGATTCTCTGTTCTCAGGGGCAGTTTTAAGGTCGAATGCCATGCAGTTAAACGAATTCGATACAGAAACAGTGACCACAGACCTCGAACCTTTCTAGAGAACAAAACCACTTTATTGTTTGTTAGGACGTTTAAGGAATACCTATTGCATCTTTAACGTTGTAATATTCATCACACGTTTAAGGTAAGCTGTTGCATCTTGATCAGGGGAATATTCGTCACTATGTCCAAGTTAACTGGCTGCATCTTGATCAGCTGATTCGTCACTATGTCTAAGTTAACTTTTTGCATCTTCATCTATGGGATATTCGTCAATATGTCTAAGTTAACTTGCTGCATCTTGATCAGCTGACTCGTCACTATGTCTAAGTTAACTTTTTGCATCTTCATCTATGGGATATTCGTCAATATGTCTAAGTTAACTGGCTGCATCTTGATCAGCTGATTCGTCACTATGTCTAAGTTAACTTTTTGCATCTTGATCTATGAGTTAACTTTTTGCATCTTGATCTATGGGATATTCGTCACTATGTCTAAGTTAACTGGCTGCATCTTGATCAGCTGATTCGTCAATGTGTGTAATTTGATCAGAGAAATGTTCTTCACGACGTTTAAGCTACCTACTTGCAGCTGGATCGGGAAAAACTTGTCACGACGTTTAGAATTACTTCCTGCTCGTTCATCAGTAATAGGGGCGGTGGGGTGGCCTAGTGGTTAAAGCGTTGGCTCGTCACGCCGAAGATACGGGTTCGAATCCCCACATGGGTACAATGTGTGAAGCCCATTTCTGGTGTCCCCCGCCGTGATGTTGCTGGAATATTGCTAAAAGCGGCGTAAAACCAGACTCAGTCAGTCAGTCATCAGTAATATGTTACCACAGCTAAGGACTACTTTTGTCATCTTCATCAGGTATTTCCTGCACCTTCAAAAGACAAATAACCGAAACGTTAGATGTTGATCGGGAACTTCGTGGTTTCATTTTTCTACCAACTGTCCTAAAAGTCAAAATCTTGACTGCACTGATGCCCATAATCACACGACGCGACAAGTAAAATCAGATCTAAAGTTCAGAGGTTATACCTAAACCCTTCTGTTGCAGCATACGCCATTTTAACATATTTGTCCAATAATCCTTCTCAACATCTGGCACATTCAGGATGTGGCCGTTTTTTTAAACAGGTGACATAGTTTCCGAAAGAAGAGCACCTTGAACAGTTTAGAATTCAGGAGGACTTGCTCAGCATCTTCAAATATCTCCGCATCCTGTTTGTCATCTAATTAGTGAGCTCTACTTGATTACTGCCAACAAGACTACCTGCCAAGTGAAGCCATTGCTGCGACCTTTCATGCGTAATTACCAGGAAGCAACTTGAATGTTTGCTATTTGAGCAGGACAATTTCGAAGTAGAATTTGATGTATCGGGTGGAATCAAGGGTGTTTTGTTTTGGCCTTTACC